TGTTATTTTCAGTATTGATTTCGGTACATTTGACCGATTTCGTAACCACCATAAAAAAATTAGGAAATGAATATATAAATTATGCCTCTTTCATTCCAGATTGAACACTAATTATAACATAAAAACAGAAATGTTGACTAAATAGCTTAAATCTCATAGCATTATATATTTGTATATATTTATTATTTTTGTTATATTGACCTTTCAGCCATGCCTGGCTAACAATAAAGAAGTTACAATGATGCAGCACACATATCAAATAACAAAACTGACCTTTGGTCTGTACATAGTGTTATGTATCTGGTTGTTTGTTAATTTTTCGTAGAAATTCTTTCTGAGAAACTTCACCGATACAAGTCCTTTCTTGATTAAAACTAATTTATTCTTTCTCGATACAAACCTTGTAATACACTTAACAACACACTATAAATCACAGTGATTCACACACTTTACTTACGGTGCCTACTGTTCACTTGACTCAATTATCTATATGTCCAATCCCGCTGGTTTTTTCGCCAGGCTTATATATTAAAAAGAGGGCATCTCGATCAGACTAGAGTTGCTGGGCAAATTCACGATCCTTCGAGAAACTCCAGCGCGCATGCTCCCAGCGTCACGTGACTTACGCTGTCGTAACAACAGTAACTTGTCTTGGCTATGTTTTAGTAGACTAGTATTTTGTAAAATAGTCACATTTCAATTATTATACATTATATATGTATATAGATTACTGCTATTTTGAAATAAGTTATTCAACTTATTTTTCTTAAAATGTAGAACAGTAATTAAAGAAGTAAAGCAAACAATTATCTCTTCTAGTTATGACCTTTGTACTTGGTCACTAAGCCTTTAAAAATTTTGCAAGTGGAGGATATGAAACAAAAATATTTTTTTAGATTTTATATATAGTTTTGAATAACTAAAAAATCATAAATTACTACATTAATACCATAGAATTCCACTATACTTCATCAAGCTTAGTAACCAAGATATATTTTAGTCTAAAAAATATTAAATTTCGAGCAAACTAAAGACACCCTACCTTCTTGAAATATTGGTTCAAAAGAAAGAAATGGCATCCAAGCCCATTAAATTGGCCAAGAATGCCACTAAGGAGACATTCTGAGCAATCATTACTCAATTAAATTTGATGTTTTTCTGTATATAGAAATAATGAATCATAAGATTTTGATTCAAAATTTCAAAAAAAGGTAACTTTGAAGGGTTGACAAAAGAATTATCAGCTGTGAATTGGGTAACTTAAAAGTTATAGTGAATTGATTATGGTGTTTAAAGTTAAGGGAATTGATAGTGTTGATGAGTCATCTTTTTTTGCATTTAATGGTGAAAATAGTAAGACTAGAGAACACAAGTATAAATTTTGGTACGGTAGTAGTAATCTTCAGCTAAGAACCATTTTTCTAACAGAATGGTTGGCCTTTGGAATGGGTTGTTTTCAAATATGGTAGATGCAGTTAATTTAAAGGAGTTTATGGGAAGGTTTGATAAATATGTGCACAAGGGCTGGCTCCGAGTGTTTTATTTTAGAGTTCATTATCATGTATGAGATTCTCTAGATGAACAATGGAGAACAGGCCCTTTGATGTTCGTAAATTATATGTTAGATTAAAGAAAATAACAGATAAAATATAAAGTTTCACTGAAAATCTTTTGATATTCATTTAAAAAGTTTTAGAGGTTATGGAAATGAAAGTTGAAAGTAGATGATGAAGAAAAGTATTTTAATTTTACCATGAAAATCATCTTGCACTCAGACTAGTCACAGTGAGTAAGACTGACTTCATACAGACCTTTAGTAAAAATTCTTGGTTAAAAAAATGTCTTTTTTTTTGTGTGCTAAAGAAGATTTGTCTACTACATTAACAGTTATAGTATGTATACTTTAATGGTTACCTGGTAGTTGAATGGTGAATCAAAATGACCAAGCCTATACAGGGAGAGAATACCTGAAATTTAACATTCCCAGATTGCATACTATTGTTTGCCACAAACAGTACTCATGTTTTATAATGAAACTATAACAAATGTCAGTGCCTCCACGAGTGATGTGTACAAGTCAAGAGATTTCTCGAGGTTTGAAAACTGGTTCAAGACTAAACTCAAGACTAGCTCAATGTTACTAATATGTGATATACCCCTTTCCCCCAGAAGTAAGCAGCTGTCACCAAAGGGGTATACCAAACAAAATGAAATAAAATTTAAAAAAAGAAGGAAAACAAAATACAGCTTTCTCATCATCATTTAAGTAATAGTTACTAAGAGAAAATAAATATATACATAGTTTTTTTTCAGTTTCAGTCAAGGAGATACAAGAATTTGTACTAAATTTGATAAGTGGAATGCCAGCTTTTAAAAGTTTTAAAATCCCTTCCATAGTTATAATGTGTTCTTGAAAATAATGTAAAACACATGGCAATTTGTACTTAAGCACATTAAGCTTTAGAAAAAATATTCATCTTGAGTACATAGAAATAGGCTGCCAAATGTTTTAAATATATTCATATTAGTAACCAAACAAAAAATAACTGGAGAATGGTTATCAAGTAATTAGAAGTTTTCATAACAAAATAATTTCTGATTCATCTACTTAATGAGCCTTTGCAGTAAAGCAGACATTAATTAAAAATACTGTGATTTTTAAAACATATCTGGATTTTTTTTCTTATTTTTGTTAATTTCTGCTAAAAATTCAGTTCCAAAACAGTAATGATCAAATATGTCTGAAACTTAAGTTTTTCATTAGAATGTTTAGATATCCCTGCTGCAGCATCAAAATCTTTAAACAAAGCATTAAATGCAGCATAAAACACAGAGCTGGATGATTAACTCAATTACCTATACGCATCAATTACAATAAAAATAACAGACTACCTCTACATCTGTTCAAGTTCTGTCACAGCAGGCTGGTGTGCTGTAGCATCGGGCAAAAGGCCTTGTACAAGGTAAATGTAGAACTGTTGACATAACATTCTTCTTTGCTTTTACTCTCAAGTTCTTAGAATCCACAAATATCATGTAAACTAATTGAAATTAAGATTAAAATGATTAATGCTACAAAAATAATCAGTTAATCAAAATAACTATTACTGATTATTACTGCTTTTCGATTATTCCAGCTATCCAATTACTCAAAATACTGCCATTATGATTTCTCATTATAATTTTCTACTAATTCAAGGTTGTTCAGCTTAATTAGTGTCATAAATATGATCAACTAGAAAAAATTATGGTTTCTGATTATTCCAACAATCCACAACTGATGTGATTGTGAGAATATTCAATTAGTTGAATGTAATCAACTAATGAGTCAGACAATTCACCACTTACAAGATTTCACTACTGGCTCAGCTCTAATCCTCAAAATTAAAGAATTTTTTTACAAGCCTTTTACTTGGCACTTTGTCAACGCTTTCTGAAGATTCAATTATACATCTTTACTTCATCAATAAAACCAGTAACCTCTTCAAAGATTATTAAAAGAATAGTAAGGCAAAGTTTTTTCCTAATAAAACCAGATTTACTGTACAATAAAAGTTTAAACTTTATTAAGTGAATTTGCAAAATATCTTTTGTCAGGCTTTAAAAGATTTTTCCTACCACTGATGTAAGACTAATAAGCCTATAATTACATGTACTTGGAGATTTTTTTCACCACCCTTGAAAAGAAAAGTAACATTAGCCAACTTTCATTTTCAATCCTCTGGTTCCTACTTAATATTCAAGGACTTCCTTAAGTATCCCTCAAAGGGCTGACTCCAATCCTAAGATTTCTCTTACCTTCAATATATTTAAAGAAATCCTTTATGTTAATTTTTTTAATGTTTACATATTCAGCCAACCTTTTTCAACTGCCTAATGAGAAATGTCCTGTTTCACCAACTCTTTTTTACAGTTTTTTCAGCTTATATATTCTTGGAATTGGGTATGGTATTTTGTAAGTTACAGTAGTATAATGATTAGAGGGCAATGTATTTAATTTCCTTTATTGATTTGTGAAGTTTTCTTCCCAAACAAGGAAAATGTTTTCAAAGTTTTATAAATGCATTGAAAAAGTAGTAGTTAATTACAGTATTTGAGTTTATAAATTGTAGGGAGGAATGTGTGTTTTCTTATAGCAAAGCCACATCAGGCTATCTGCTGTGTCCACTGAGGGGTATTGAACTCCTGATATATGTCCCAAAGTGGGACATATATGGAGGTAAATAGTGTTTTTGCAGGTTTAATTTGATATTACATTACTACAGATTAAAGTGTTAGAATTAAAAGTGATAAAGAAAATTCCAGAAACTAATTTGGTAAGCTTAGCATTTGGAATGTTCCCACCCATGGCAGGCAGCAGTATTAATGTTGAAGTGATGTATCACTACAAAATGTTTTGATGATTATGGCTGAGCTGTGGAAAGTCAGTTGCTTCTTATGTTAATATTTGAACTTAATTTCTTCATGCTAGTAGATTTGATAACTACGAATTGTGAAGGGGTCCAGCGAATGCCTAAAATTTAACAATAATCAGAGCTCACGAGTCATATTAAGTTAGCTCCAATAGTACTAGTAGGTAAAATCATACTATAATTAAGTACTAGTAGGGTTGGTAAATGTCACTTATCAATTATCAGTACTACTCGTTGTAGAGTTAATTGTAAAATTATAATTTCCTTTTAGTGCTTGTTTCAAATATTTATTGTTATGCTACTTATATTCTGTTTTCTTTCTTTAGTTTTGTTATATTATCTCGATGTATCTACTGAAAACAATGTATTACAATTATGTACGTCTTAACCTAAGACAAGTATAACTTTACACATTACTTGTAACTTTTACCCCCAATTAACAATAACATAGTAGTGTAGTACAGACGGTAAAATGCAGTTAAAAGTGACAATAATTGAAGAAACAGTAATGCTGAAACTAAAAGCTATAGTTATCAAAAAACATTAGGCTCAACTTTAAAACTAAATGGTTAAAAATTCAGTTCCTACCTGACAGCGACACACAATATCTGCATTTGAAGCAAGTAAATCAACAACTTTTCCTTTACCTTCGTCACCCCATTGTGCGCCTAATATTACTGTTACCGCTTTAAAATCTGTTTTAGGTCGTTTCACGATAGGAGCAGCATGGATTTCTCCGTTTAATTCGCCGTTCTTAACACTCGCCATCTTCTTCTGTGCCCCGCTAAGCAATGGAAATTACCCAATCCTGTGATCTGATGTAAATCAAAATAGTTTCAAACATGGGGCACCAGGTGTCAGAGCGTTCTATTTTTTAACCATGAGTTCCACACAAATAAAAGCCAAGTTTAAATAAAAACACAGAGAAAAATAATATAAAACATATTGAATAACTATTCATCTTTAATAATAAAGAACAAATATTCGACATACATACTTAGATTATAACATAATGTTACGACAGCGGAAGTCACGCGTTGCTGGAAGCATGCGCGCTGGAGTTTTTAGAAGGATCATGACTGTTCCTGACAACTCTAGTCTTTTCCAGGCGCCCTCTATTTTAGTATATAAGCCCGGCAAATAATTACAGATAGAGAGGTATAGAGACAGATAACTGAGTCAAGCTAGCGGTACAGACTGTAAGCAAAGTGCGTGAATTATATCGTGTGTTTATAAAAGTAGTTAAGTTTAAAGTGACTGTGGAAATTAATTGTATTACAAAGTTTGTAACGAGAAAGAATAAACTAGTTTTAATTAAGAAAGGACTTGTATCGCTGAAGATTCTCGGGGACAATTTTTATTCTCGCCGTTAAGTATGAAAAAACATTGTACATCAACACTACCAATTCCCTTCACAATCATAAACACCTCAATCAGATCCCCTCTAACTGTTCTTTTTTTCAAGAGAAAACAATTTCAGAGATCTTAATCTTTCCTTATATGACAACCCTTACCTCTCCTAGTAACCCTAAGGTAAAGAGTCCAAGATTGAACATAATACTCCATATGTGGCCTAATCAATTACTTATACATTTAAACTATAACCTCTTTAGACTTGTATTCAATATTTCTGTAGATATGTCATGATATAAAATACTGTTTAGTTTAGATATTATTAATTAATTAATTTTGTGAGTGAATATTTTATTATTGTTTAGTTTTTGTTATAATAAGAGTTAAAAGCAGATAGATAGTAGCAGAAGAGAGTAAAGTTACCGGCAAGGAAAAGTTCGGCGAGAAGTTAATTCCGTAGAAGTGATAGGCCAAACGTTTAATTTTTTAAAGACTAACAGTTGAAAAGGAGATATGAAGAAGAATTTATTCCGTCAAAGTGTGGTTCTAAAGTAATTGAATCAGTCTGAGTACACTTTGACAAAAGGAACAGAAGATATTTAGAAGAAAGAAGACCAAACGATTATGGTAACTCGCGCCACAATTGTTTGTGAATCACACACAGAATACTAGTGCGAGAGTAACAGAGAAGATAATTCGGTTTGCTAACTGAAATTCTAAAGTAATTGAATGGACTTTGACAAGAAGAGAACTATATATATATACTGTGTTATGATATATTTATAGTGTGAAGAATGTTTTGTACTTGTTCCGAATATATATATATATATTATTTTGAAAAACAAGAGAAGTGCGTGCTGTTCATTTATTGTTGAATTTATCGCCAACAAGTCACATCACATACACGTACTGTAGAAGAATCCTTAGCCCAACAACAATACAGTATATATTTATACTATTAAAAAAGTATAAATACAAAAACTTTCATTTTGACAAGATACAACCTAAAATCCTATTTGCCCTGCCACTAACAACAGCACACTACATGGATGGCTTAAGTAACTGACCAGCCATAACACCAAGATCTCTTTCTTTCATGACATTGTTAAGGTTATTCCCATCCAAATTATACTTATGGTTCAAATTATGATAACCTACATGTATTATCTTGCATTTATTACAATTAAAGCCTATCTGCCACATATTTGCCCAAGTCACTAAATGATCTAAATCCTTTTGTAAAGTAGCAGCATTCTCTTCACAGCTAACAACACCCAAAACCATAATATCATCAGCAAATTTAAGTAATTTATAAATATAAAATAATTTTTCTTTAATTCACCTAAGATTAACCACCAAAAGAATGCCCTAATCGCAAGAAATGACAATTACCTAAGCATGTACCAGATTATACACTTAGCAACAATATTGAGGTGAAGAAAAAAGGGAATTATATAAATTAGTAAAATTGTTATTATGATGATATTCACATTTCTTTTCTTTTCATCAAATATAAAACTGGAAGGCCCAGCATGGCCAGGTGGTTAGAGTGCTCGACTCGTAATCTGAGGGTCGCGGGTTCGAATCCCTGTCCAACTAAACATGCTCGCCCTTTCAGCCATTGGGGTGTTATAATGTGATGGTCAATCCCTATATTTGTTGGTAAAAGAGTAGCCCAAGAATTGGCGATGGGTTGTGATGACTAGTTGCCTTCCTTCTAGTTTTTCACTGTTAAATTAGGGACAGCTAGTGGAGATAGCCCTTCTGTAGCTTTGTACGAAATTCAAATCAACCAAACAAACTGCCCACAAGGATATTTCACTGCTGTATCTTGAGTCTGTTTTGAAATAGTTAAAACTGGAACATCCTTTGCTAAATCTGATATCTGGCCAGTGCTTGGAAGAGTAGTTGGAAAGAGGTCACGAAGTGACCCCATCTACTGGACAAAGAAAGCACAGCGATGCTCAAAATACAGTCATTTTCGTTGTTCAGTTCTACTTGGTTTTATCGTGACTATTCGGCAGAGATTCATTTTGAGAAACAAAAAACTGGTGAACTGTTCACTAATCCAGTATCGGGAATTGTCTATGCAAGTATGTACACTGTTTTAATGTTGTATCTAAATAAAGATTTTTTTCACTGTGTCAAATCTGTTTATTTCTCAACCAATGTTAAAATACAGTAAAGTTATAAACTATAAATCTAGAACACTCCCCTTGTTTCTTGATAGAATCTGCTATCATCTGTGGGATTACTTGTCAGGAAATTGGTTTAACCTAAAAATACCACAAGTAAACAGGGAGGAATACATTTAGTGACCTACCAAAAAGATTTGTTATGGAATTTTTCGAAATGATAACATGTGTGGTAGTCCTTGCTTGATATCTTACGTCTATTGCTTTTATGAAAGAATGGCTTATATTAAATACAAAAGTACTTACTAGTCTAAGAAAGAGGGAGAGAGTTTGGGGAAGTGAAGACAATTGAGAGTCATCAATGTGGAATTTGGCGTCTGTCGAATCCGCAACTGACTGGGGAAGTCTTCATAAGACTCTCAGACCTTCACCAGTAAGAGTACAGCAGTCTCTGCTCTGGTTTAGACTACAGATCATCAGCCATATAGGAATGGACGTGCTACTGCTGGAAGAACTTCATCAGTTAGAGCTGTTTCACCTACAGGTGAGACAATGGGCACCCATAGGTCAAAATTAGAGTGGTCAAGTAGTTGGATGACTACTGAGCCAGTGAGTAAATTTTCTGATGAGAAACACAACAATTATCAGCAAGGTTATGGAGACAAATGATTTTATCTTGATGTTAAAAATGGGAGAATTTCATAATGTTGTTTCTCCTTACAAGCTGTGGTATTAAGACATGAAAATGCTGGCTTTATGTGTACCAGGAGGGAAACAGAAAATAATACCCACACACTGAACTGTGATTCATGCCAAAAGTAGTATGCATCTTGTAAATGAAAGGAAGCCCTAAGGAAAGACAATGTTGGCGAAGGTTAACAGTCAAAAGTATGTTTAATGTAACCTAATTCAAGTCAGCCCAACTGTGTATGGCCCAAGTAGTCTTAACCCCCATTCCTTTCTACTCGATCCAGGCTCTGGCTGTATGAAATCCAGATAGTATTTTAGGAATAAGGCTGGGTTGGAGAGTTTGTCATGCATGTTCCCATTGGTGGGGATGGCAAGGGGTAGCATGGGTATAATTAGCTAGTCAAGTGGAAACATTGAGAATTCCGTGGATCGGGAAGTCCTTGAGCACATGTATTATAGGTGGAGATGGGTTTGAGTACATGTTAGCCTGTAAACATGTCGTTTGATCAGTACCTACTTCAATGGTGTAACCATGCATTACAACCCACTTGAGCTTACACACTTGGCTGAGCTTTTGATTGATGGAATTCACTTAAACTTACACTGAAATTTGGACTTTTTATAAAGAATCAAATCATGGATGCTCCTGCTTATCTGTTTTTTTTTTAAACTAGCAAACTGTTTTTTCATTCCCTGTTTATTAGCATTCCCAAAGTATTTTCTATTTCCTGGTAGATTACCAGGCCAGTTGATAAAGAAACACAAGCTTGGCTGAAGATGCCAGCCAAAGTAGCCGAGCCTATTCATCATTTAATTAACAAAACATATGTCAGATGACGAGTTTGAACATCGATGTTGGATGGTTAGGGCAGTGTCTATTCAGGAACTTCATTGTAAAGAAGCTGTGTTACCACTTCCCAGTATAGCCCACGTATATATATTGTAAAATTATTTTTCTTTGATTTTTTATGCTTTATGATTTTTTATTTTGGTATGTTAAGGTTTTATTTTAATGTGTTGTTCATTGTAAAGGATTTTAACTTTTTCATTTGTATCTGCAAAGTATGTTGAGACTATTATTTATTAAAGGGATAGGTAGCCTTTGTTAGTATTTTTAAGTTTATGCTAAATCCCTACTAAGAATATTATTGTCTTTATAAGTATGTACCTGTGAAATGCATGTTTTTTGTTACATGTTTTCCCCTTTTCTTTGTACTTGGTATCTTGTAATGTTTCACGACCGTTTATCTGTTAGTGTTTTTATTAGTAATGGATTCTTTCACTGGTTCCATGTATTTTTCTGATTATTTACCGTTTTTAAGAGTTTTTCTTTTAATGACTAGTTTTCTTATATGCATTATATTTTAAGTTGTATTAAAGGTTTTTTTTGTGTGGTATGTGACTTGTGTGAATTTTTTAGGAATAAGGAAAAGTTAACATTTCTGGGCCACGTTGTAAATTTAATAAACATAATATGTTTTAATGCTAATTATAATTGTCGATCCGAGGACAGACTTGAAAAAGAGATAGGAGGGGTGTGGTATGCAGGCATACCATGTTCCTCTACCTTCTGTAGTAACACAGGTTTATTCCAAATTATTGATTATTT